AATAATAATAATAAAAAGAAATATTCCCAGCATGGGAAATTATGATGAAAAAGCTCAAAATTACCCATAATCAAAAATCTCAAGAAAAATCAAGAATGTTGTGATGTATATCTTCCCTGATATTTTTCTACATCTATATATCCTTAAACATTATTCTTTGGTTAAAAAATATTTGTAAAACAATTTCCTTAATAATACTATACTGACAGGTACTGCCTATAAATTACATGTGTATTTTTACAAGTCTGTTGAGATGTAATTACAAGGGATGCAATTCATTTTAGTGTACAATTGATGGCTTTTGGTATATTCAAAGTTATGCATCTATCATCACAATCAATTATAGAACATTTGTTTTCACAGTACTGAGGACTGAACCCAGAGCCTTGCATATGCCAGGCAAGTGCTATATAATTGAGCTACATTCCAGCCCTCAGAAAATTTTTATAACCCCCCAAAGAAACCTTTTGCTCATTCCTCCTCCCTAACCCCACTTCAGCCATAGGCAACCACAAACCTACTCTATACAAATTTCCCAATTCTGAACATTTAATATAAATGTAACCATTCAATATGTAGTCTTTTGTGACACTTGTATATAATATTTTTGTGGACACATGTTTTAATTTCTCTGGGATACATATCTATGAGTGGATAATACATATTATTAATGGTTACATTGTATTTTATCCAACTGATATATACATTTATTTTCTTAGTTTACCGTGATAGTTTATCAACATTCCCTTATTTAAGTATTAATGAAATATACATAGATACTTCATAATGGTGCTCTAAATTCACCTCTTAAATTAGGAACTGTGCTCATTCATCTTCACATAATAAATGCAACATACTTTTTTTTTTTTTTTTGGACTGGGGAATGCAACATACTTGATTTCATTATTTCCTGCTGTTGGGCCTCAAGCATGCTAGTCAAGTACTATGCCACCAAGACACATCTCCAGCTTCTATTTTGCAATTTGCTTTAAATTTTGCTTTTCAAAACTTATTTTTTCCATAGGTTTTTCTTTTTCTATATAAATTTCAATGAAATTTACTTATTCTGAATTTAGTTTTAAAGCTTTCAGCTGAATTTTGTTTTCTTTTGCCAACTTAGCCTCCTATGGCAAACAACTTCTTCGCCTCTTAATTGTCCAGGGTTAGTGGAGGGCAAGTGGGGCAAAACAGAAGTAGCAAAGACTAAAGCCTGGCTCTAATACTCTCTATGGGGTTAAGTCACAGTTTTCAGTCTTCACCAAGTACATTGTGAAGCAGGACTGCTCATGCTGGACTCTTAAAAGGTATAAACATTTTCTCTTGTTTCATTAAGATGTTCTTATTCATAGTAAATTTCATCAACTCTAATACTGTAGTACCAACAGAAAAAAATTATTTCCAAATAAATAATTCAACAAAAGCTCCCGGATATAAGTAAACCAGTTTCCATATTTAAAGTATCCATAGTATGTTCAGAAAAATAAATAACATTTTATACTCATTTATGCAACATTCACATTTACATTGTTATGGAATTTCAGAATACCTGGAAAGAAGATAAATATTCGATTGGGGATTTAGCTTAGTTGGTAGAGTGCTTGCCTTGTATGCACAAGACCATGGGTTCAATCCCCAGCACTCCCCCCCCAAAAAAAAAAATTGAGAAAGGTGAATAGGTCACATTTGAAGAATCACCATACAGAATGGTAACTGAGATCTCCAGTGGAATACCAACGTAAATAAGCAATGACTTAAAATTTTTGAGAAAAAAAATAGAACAATTCTATTCTAATCAACATATTATGGTTAAAATGCATTTTTAGAACTTTTTGGCGTGTGTGGTACTGAAGATTGAGCCCAACAGCCTTGTATGCAAAAGCTCTACCACTAAGCTATAGCCTTACTGACATTGACTTTTTTTTTCTTTTTTTGTGTGTGGCTGTACTGGGGATTGAACGGAGGGGCACTCTACTGCTGAGTTACACCCTCCCCAGCCCTTTTTATTTTTAGAGTTAGGTTCTTGCTAATTTGTCCAGGCTGGTCTCAAACTTGCAATTCTCTTGATTCAGCTTCCAAAACAGATCATGGAATTACAGGCATGAACTACCATGCCTGGCACAACAAAACTACTTTAATCAAAGTGAGGCAAAGATAAATTCTGAATGAATTGGTTTATTGCAATGTGCACAAAAGCAAAATAAGAAAAAGGAATATGTGAAATTATAAACCAAAATAGGCAAAGAAAATAACTCCAACACAGAATGTTAGTAATGAGTCAAAGGCCTTGTGTCCATGGAAGAAATTGTCCAAATAATCTGCAAGAGCAAGCCCTTGAAGGTGGCATTCCTACAGGTCTGGAATGCTGAAGATGAAGTGAAATGACTTAATTTGACAGGACCTTCTGCCTTTTCAGAGTGAATACTTGCAAAGAGTGGAGTCACAGGAACGTATGTCTCAACTAGCAATCTGAAATGTTGGTATTTGGAGTCCCAGAAGGTATATTATCTTAGGTTCTGGGGTCAAAAGTCCCAGATACTATCTTATTTTTGTATCAGCACACAGTTGTAAATGTGGTTATGAAGGAGGACTAGAGGGACATGTTCAATGTAGACAAAATGCATGTATTAAAGAACAGCAAATCTGGTATGTATGTATGTATGTATTATTATTATTATTTTACTACTGGGGTTTGAACCCAAGGGCACTCTATTACCATGCTGTTTCCCCAACTGCTTTATTTATTTATTTATTGGTACTGGGGATTGAATCCAGGAGTGCTTCACCACTGAGCCACATCCCCAGCCTGTTTTAAAATATTTTATTTAGAGACAGGGTCTCATTGAGTTGCTTAGGCCCTCACTAAATTGCTAAGGCTGGCTTTGAACTTGTGGTACTCCTGCCTAAGCCTCCCAAGCTGCTGGGATTACAGGTGTGGGTCACTGCACCTGGTGTATTTTATTTTTTGTTTTGACAAAGGGTCTCACTTTTTGTCAAGGCTGGACTCGAACTTGTGATTCTCTTGAAACAGCCTCTGGAGTTGCTGGGATTACAGGCATGCTCGACCACACCAGCTTGTATTAGATACAAGAAGCCCATTTGATCTCAGCATAGAGAATTACAGTGAGACAGCAGCAAATGATTCAGGATTGGCACAGTTGGATAACACCATGGTCTTAAGAAGCGGTGTTGAAGGGCTGGGGTAGGGGCGGCAGGCACCATGTCCGGCTGGGAAGGTAGCAAGAAGAAGCCCCTGAAACAACCTAAGAAGCAGGTCAAGGAGATGGATGAGGAAGATAAGGCTTTCAAACAGAAACAAAAAAGAGGAGCAGAAGAAACGTGAGGAGCTAAAAGCGAAGGCCACGGGGAAGGGCCCCCTGGCCACAGGCAGAATTAAGAAATCTGGCAAAAAATAAGCCGATTCTTGTGCCTGAAATGATGGTGACCGTTGATTCCATTCCTATTTAGACATCAGGATCCCTGCTGGAACATCTTTTGCCACCTATAGCTAGAATGAAGTGTTGTATTAGAGTCTGTTGTAAATTTAATAAACTTTTGTAAAATAATAATAATACACACACACACACACACACACACACAAACAAACAAAGAAACAAAAGAAGCTGTGTTAGCTCCAGGGCAACGAGGAGCCACTGGAGGGGTCTGACAAGAGTGGTATCAACATTTTAAATGCTCACTTTGTATTTATTTATTTATTTTTTGGTACAAGGGGCACTGGTACTGAGCCACATTCCCAGCTCTTTTACTTTTTCTTTAGGCTGGATGACTGTCGAAAGCCACCCATGGGCTGTGTGTGTGAGCTATGTGCATTGCAGCTATATGAGCGGACAGGTCTGGCATTGCACGCTGACTGGGCTGTGCCATGCAAGTGCCCCTCTCCTCTCCCTCTTCCCGTGATCTCACACAGCACCTGAGATGGGTATTACTTGCCAAGATGTCAATCAATCTGCTGGCCACAGGTATCAGAAGCAAGACTCCACCTTTGAAACCTTATCCCTGACTTATTTGGTGTAGAATATTCTAACGAAAATCCTTTGTCTTCTTTACCCTATAAATAAAGGGATTGCAGGTGCTCTCCCTCTCTTGCCTTCCAGAGTGGAAGAGGACCTATGAGGTTGCAGAGCAGTCCCACTCTGATATGAAAATTACTTATGCGTCCTGTGCTTTTTCGCCGTTTTCTTAGCTTAATGTTGCAGTCAGCTCTTTTGAAACCATCTTATCTAGTCAGCGCCGGTCGCTGGCCAGAGATGACCCTAACTTCTTTGGATCAGGGGGAGTGGCCCTTCCAATATAAAAATCCCTTAACTCCTGGTGTGCACCCTTACCCACTTCAAAGCCAGCCTTCACAGTTACTTCCTTCTCACGTCTACCTGTGAATTCATTCCTAATCGTGTTTCTTCTTTAATATTTCTTAAATAAGGACAATGGCTTCTCAACTCTGCCTGTGCTTTCTGTTTAACAGCCAGAATGCGCATGCGCTCTCTCTCTCTCTCTCTCTCTCTCTATATATATATGGCAGCACTAGCATAGTTTACAGACATTGGACTTTATTATAAGATAGGATGGAGACCCACGTGCGGTGGTGCAGGTCTGTAATTCCACCTATGCTGAGGGAGGAGGATCACAAATTTGAGGTCAGTCTGGGCAGTTTAGCAAGACTCTCTGTCTCGAAAAATAAAAAGGGCTGGGCATGTAGCTTAGTGGTAGAGAGTTTGCCTAGCATGTACGAGACCCCGGGTTCAATCCCCCTAGGGATCCGAGACAGAATATGGAGAAATATCGGACCTGTTTTATAGGTCTCCGCTCCCCCCGGGTTAATAACACACACTAAAATCATTTGGCTTGTTTTGGCGACAGCTTCTCATTCTACCCGGACAGGAGATAAGGTGGGGCCTTATCTCCGCTCCAAGGCTGAATGACAGGCCCGCACTCCTCTCTCCGCTCACTCTGCAGGCACCCCCCCCCCCCCCGGACCGGCGCCGATGTCCCCAAGCCCTCTGGGAAGTGGAGTCCTTCCGCCCGGACCCCCGACCCGGCGCTGTCGCCTCCAAGTGCGCAGATGCGACTCCAGGCGGAGCGGCGTCGAGCTCGAGCCTTTTGTGTCCCCGCGCTCCGTGGTTCTGGCCGGCGGCCCCGTCCGCTCCTTCAGCCGTCCGGGAGAGCGCAGCCCACGAGGACCCCGCCCCGTGGCCAGAGCGGGGCCCGGAGCAGGTCCGGGGGTAAGTGAACGCGGGGGTGCCGCCCGTCCGTGCGCGCGGCTCTAACGCTCCCGCCGTAGTCCCAGAGGCTTTTCAGGTTCCGGCCGGGGTAAAGCTGGGCCGCCCCAGCTTCCCGCCCAACCGCGGGGGCCGGGCGCGCACCTCCGGGGTCTCCATCCCGGGCGCGCGGGAATATCCGGGCTCCGCTAGGAGCTCGGGGCCCGCTGGGGCGGGGCTGCCGCTAAGGCCTCTGGGAAGTGGAGTCCGCTCTCGGAGGATTCTGGGAGCCGGCGTGTGGTGGGCGGAGCCCTCAGGCTGGCGTCGCGGGGTACCGCGAGCACCTGTCGCTGCTCTTGGACCGGAGCGGCGGCGTTCTGCACCTAGGCTGCCTGTGTCTTGCCCATCCCCCTTCTGTGCTTTGCTCTGTCAGAGTTTTGGGGTCTCCCTGTATTGGGGGGCCATTGTCAGCAGCCGTTTGGCTCTGAATGTTCAAGGAGTCCCCAGCTTGTACTTTTCAGGATCTTAAATTAAAAAGCGAGTGAGGAATCTGAACTATAAGGATCCCATTTACTGCTTCGTGTTGGTGAATATGAAGGATGAACCAACTGTAGCGCCATAGAGTTACTGCTACCATAATGACAGGCCACCTTTTTGCTGCTTCTGTGCTTTTGAGTCTTGTAGGAGGTATTTTTGTGCTTTTTTTTTTAAAAAAAAAATTCTTGTTTTTTGTGATGCTGGGGATAATCGAACCCAGGGCCTTCAGCGTGCTAGGCAGGTGCGCCACCATTGAGCGATACCCTTAGCTCTCATAGGCATTTCTGAAGGTTTTGGAAATAGGTGTGTGACTGAGGCTCACTGCCCTGATCCCTCCTGGTATTGTCTTGAGACTCCAGAGGATGGTTTTCCCAACCGTGGAGATTAATTTCCTCCAATAATAAAGATTCCAAGCAAAGTTGAAGTACGTATTAGGCATTAGGACTTAAATGCATAGGAACGAATTTACCGGGACTGGAGATAGAGTATCTCCCTCTGTTCCACAGGGAGCAGGAATGAGTTCTAGAGGAAGGCAAACCTGACCTCAAAAATCTCTCTGTAGAGTTTCACAGCGGAGTTGGGTGATTTACAGGAAGAAGCAGGTTATGTGTTGCTGAGAAGTCCATTTTCATCTCATCAGAAACAGTATATACTGAGAAAGAAATAGCAGGACAAGGAAGAAAAGCTGATCATGGATTATCTTACCATTGAAGTTGAGCCAACAGGTAAGAACTATGGAAATAAACATGGAGTTGAAAGTGAGAAGTGGGAGAACTACCTCTTATGCAATGAGAAGGCCCCACATGATAGAAAAGAGAAGTAGATATCTGTCAGAGAGAAGGCTCCAGAGTAAATATTATCACAATTAGAAATAATTAGTAGGGCTAGTCATGGTGCCTATATCTGTAATCACAGCTTCTTGGGAGGCTGAGGCAGGAAGATCACAGGTTCATGACAAGTGTAGGTAATTTAGCAAGACCTTGTCTCAAAATTTAAAAAAATGAAAAGGGCTGGGGACATAGCTCAGTAGTAGAGAGCCCCTGAGTTCAATTCCCAGTAACACACACATGCACAAAATAAATCATTGATCGTCTCCTGTAGCATGTTCTCCAGTCCCCTCCTCCTCTTTCTGCACTGCTGAACTCATCCACATCCCCTCTAAAAGCTGTAGAAGGGAGAATATTCCATCATGTTTGCATTCATGAAAAGCACAGGTAGCACTTTTCTACCCCTGATAGGCTCTTCCAAAAAGATGATATGTTTGGGTACTGTGAGTTTAATTTTTTTTTTTTTGGCGGGGGGGGATTGAACTCTGGGGTGCTTAACCACTGAGTTCCCTCCCCAACCACTTTTTTTTTTTTTTTGGCTGGTTTCACTGCTGAGGCTGGTCTTGAACTTGGGATCCTCCTGCCTCAGCACCCTGAGTTGCTGGGATTACAGGTGTGCACCACCATACCTGGGAAATTTAACCTTTTTTTTATTAAAAGACTTTCACTTTGTTGTCCTACACTATTCCAAACTGAGAATTTTTAGTTAACAAGAATAGTCTTATTATGTAATTAGCTTTTTTCTAGTGAATTTGGGAAAATGGATGTTATCTCCTTCATGGTTTGTTTGCTGTTCCTTCCAGCCATGACTACTGATGCTTCTCTAACCCCAAAACAGAGCACAGAAGAAATGGAACCTACTGTTGAACTTCTTCCTGTTGAGTTCCAGGTGAATTTGAGTTTAATTTCATTTTGCTAAAATCTTGGTACAATGTGTCCTTGTTCCTTTCTTTCATGTTTCAGAGATCAAGGGAAATCCTATTTAGAGAATAGCACAAAAATAATTTTTTATTAAAAACTTGAAGCTCTGGGGAGAGCTCAGGTTGGAGGTTTGAATTTGAGTAATCTATATGGACCATATTTAAAACTATGAAACTGTGATCATTAAGAGAATGAGTATAGAAAGAAAAGAGGCAAGATATCATGACTGACTGCTTAGCTCTCCAACACTTAGAGATCAGAAAGATGGAGGGAAACAGCAAAGGAGACTAAGAAAATGTGACCACTGAGGTGGAGGGAAAGTATGGCATCCCGGTCACCAATTGAAAAGAGTATTGTAAGGAGGAAGGAGTGTTAAATCAGCTGTGTTAAATGCTGCTTCTCAATCAAGAAAGACAAGGCCTGGGAATTGGATTTAAAGACAGGAAGATTACTGGTGACTGCGAATGGCAATTTCATGGAATGATAGCATGGGAATGAGTTAAAAAAATAATGGAGAGAAATTAGAGCCACAGACTATATACAACTATTTTAGAGAGTTCTACTTTAAATGAAAAGAGTTGGGGTGATAATTGAAGACTAAAGCGGTGTTTGATCATTTGTGAGGGTTTTTGATACGGAGGGTTGAACTCAGGGGCACTTGACCACTGAGCCACATCCCCAGTCCTATTTTGAATTCTATTTAGAGACAGGATCTCTCTGAGTTGCTTAGTGCCTCATGATCATTTGTTCTTTAAAGATAGGAAAAATATATTATTTATAGGTACATGAAAGTAGGTGGAGAAGAAAAGATGCTTCAGGATTGAGCCCTGAGAACTCAAAATTTAGAGCCATTTTTCAAATATTACTAAATTTTTTAAAAATAAGTAATTGGGAGAGTTAGGGAAAATACTTACAGATGAAGAAACTGAGACTCATTGTAACTTGCTCAGAACCATCAAGTAGTGGGTCAGAATTGAGATATGTCTCGTTCTCAATTCTGTTCCTCTAGCCAGTATAATCTATTTTTTTAAGAATTTTTTTTCATAATACCTTTATTCTACTTATTTATTTTTATGTGGTGTTGAGGATTGAACCCAGGGCCTCACATGTGCTAGGCAAGTGCTCTACCACTGAGCTACAGCCCAGCCCCAGTCTAATCTGTTGAGTGACTTTTCCAGAAAGAATTCTACAGGTAAGTTTGGTTAATAAAGTACATGTATGACTATCAGCATACATAGAATTTGAATCTTAGCCAGGCTCAGTGGTGCAGGCGTGTAATCTCAGCAGCTCAGAAGGCTGAGGCAGGAGGATCACAAGTTCAAAGCCAGCCTGGGCAAAAGTGAGGCACTAAGCAACTCAGTGAGACCCTATCTCTAAACGAAATACAAAATAGGATGAGGATGTAGCTCAGTGGTTGAGTGCCCCTGAGTTCAATCTCTAGTACCTGCCCCCCACCAAAAAAAAAGAATATGAATCTTACCTTGGAACAGTAGATAATTTTCAACTTAAGTTAGTAAATTCACTCATTCAGAGAAAGTTTAACTACCAGAGCATAACTGAATGAATCTAAAAGTCATGACCCAAAATCTAGAGCAAAAAGAGGCCTGCCTGTTAGAATAGCACTACTATCTACATACATTCAAAATATCAGCTTGAATTTCTTTAAAATCTCAGAATATACTTGGGATCAGTGTAAGTTACATATTTGAGCCTTATCTCATCAACAACAGTGATTAACATTGGGTTATCATTCAGTGATTAATTTACATTAGATCATTTAGTAAAATATAAGAGGCAGAAGACTATAGTTAGGAGTATAGCTTTGGAGTCATTATTGCCTGGTCCAAATCCCAGATCTGACACTAACATCTGTAGATGATGTTAATAATAGTACTTACTATTGTATTATATGATTGTTCTTGTGAGATAGTGCAAAGGACTTAGTCCAAGTAAGTAAATTTTTATAAATCTTAGGTTTTTAGTATTATGTTTCTTAACAGACTAATATTTAGTAATTTGATAAAATTCCATTAAGGTAAAGGTTTAACCTTCAGATTGAAAAGGATTTTCTCTTCTAGATTATTTCCTCCCCTCAGGATTAACAACCCCTGATTTAATGTGCTTGATCTTCCAGGAATTGATGACAGTCAAAGATGAGGAAATGGACTTCACGCATGAAGAGCTGGAAGAGCTGAATTCTGCCCACAGGTACATGGGCATGGATATGAAGGTGGATAATTATGGAAGCCTAGTATTTTGGGGTAAGGAAATATAATTTTGTGTTGCAAACTGCTTTTTAGGACACCAGTATCTCAGCCAATTTGAGCTGCTATAACAAAATAGGATAAACTGTGTGGCTTATAAACAACAAAAGTTTACTTCTATGTTTCTGGAGGCTAGGAATTCCGGGATCAAGGTGCTAGCATGTCTGGTATTTGGACCCACTTTCTGGTTCATAGATGGTGCCTTTTCATTGTTCATATAGCAGAAGGGTCTTTCTGGGGCCTTTTTTTTTTTCCTGTTGAAGATGGAAACAATACATTTATTTTGTTTATTTATTTTTATGTGGTGCTGAGGATTGAACCCAGTGCCTCACAGGTGCAAGGCAAGCATTCTACCACTGAGCCACAACCCCAGCCCCTAGGGCCTTTTTTTATAAGGCCTTTTAATTGTATTCCTGAGGGCTGTTCTCTCATTATATAATCATCTACCAAAGTCCCCACTTTGGAATACTATCAATGTGGGGGTTAAGATTTCAATACATGGGGCTGGAGTTGTGGCTCAGCGGTAGAGCGCTTGCCTAGCATGCATGAGGTGCTGGGTTCGATCCACAGCACCACATAAAAATAAATGAAGAAAGGTATTATGTCCAACTAAAATATTTAAAAAAAAAAAGATTTCAATACATGAATTTTGGGGGGATGCAAACATTCAGACCACGACTGAAAGCTTCCTCAATAATTAACAGAATATAAAATGCCATAGTTTTGCATAAGATTCAAAGACCCCCTCATCCTCTAGGGGATCTCTGACCATTCTGGGCTTCTCTCTCTCTCTCTCTCTCTTTAATATTTTTAGTTGTAGATGGATATAATACCTTTATTTATTTATTTTTATGTGGTGCTGAGGATCAAACTCAGAGCCTCATGTGTGTGAGGCAAGAGCTCTACCACTGTGCCACAACCCCAGCTCCAAAGTTTTCTCTTTTGAAAAGTAAAAGTTCTTTCTAGTGACACTGAAAAAGGACAGCTTTATTATATTGATATTAAGACTTATAGGGCTGGGGATATAGCTCAATTGGTAGAGTGCTTGCCTCTTATGCACAAAGCCCTGGGTTCAATTCCCAGCACCACACACATAACACACACACATACACACACACACACACACAGAAAAGACTTGTAAAGCTACAATAATCATAATGGTATGATACTGATGAAAGCATATATATATATATAATGGAACAAAATAATCCAGAAATAGACATACATATATATAGTCAATTTCTGGCAAAAGTTCAAAAGTAATTCAGTGGAGAAAGGAGAGTGTATTTTTTTATGCTTTTTATTTTTTGGTGCTGGGGATTGAACCCAGGGCCTTGTGCATGTGAAGCAAGCACTCTACCAACTGAGCTGTATCCCCAGCCTCTTTTTTATGCTTTTTTTAAAAAAATTTTTTTATTAGTACATTGTAGTTATGCATAATAGTGGGGTTCATTTTGACCCAGCCATACATGCATGGAATATAATTTGCTCCATTTCAACTCTAGAATGAAACTGATCACATTAAACTATATATACGTATGAGTATACCATAGTGAATTTCATATATATATATATATATATATATATATATATATATATATATAT